TCTATCTCCAACAATCATATTAATATTAATCAATCATATTGAACTTCGTCTATAATATTTATATTTTTATAGAAACTATAAAAGCTTTATTATTTATAATATTAATATTAATATTAAACTATTATAATAATATACTTGTTTTTTTATATTATTATTTTTATTATATACTATATTTGAAAACTTAATTTTTTAATTTCTAATATATATATCTTATTATTTTAATTATATATTCTAAACCAATATCTTCTAATAAAAATCTGTATAACTATTTTTATATATTTTTTAAATATTATAGATGCATACTTTTCCGAATAATCAGACTATTAAAAAATCACTACAGTTTTTAATAAATATATTATTTTATATAGCTGCTACTGTATTTTTATAACAAAATATATATATCTTTTAATTTAATAAGTAGATTTATAAAAAGAATATTATAGTAAAAAACTAATTTATAACTATAAGTATTATATTTCTATCTCTAGTTGTATTGAACCATTTAGTATTTATGTTTAATAAAAACTTACTATTTTTATTGTCTTTTACCTTTTTACCTTTTTATTTTTTTAACTTTATTTTTATTATCTTTCTATATTTCTATCTATTGAATTATATATTTTAGTATCATATTTATTGATTATTTGTTCTTTATATATATAATTTGATATAAATATTATTCTTAAGACTATAGGATTTATAGTATATTTTATAGTTATTAACCTTATTATATTTAGCGGCCCGCCTACTATACCATTTTTAGGAATCTTTCAGTCTTCTTAATTTTCTTTTATCTATCTTTTTTATAATCAATCAGATCAATCTTCATCTTATCCACGTTTATCGTATCTTGCCATAATAGTAATGAAAAAATTAATGCAACACAAAATTTCTGTTTTGTATAGATAACTAGCTTCTTTAGCAGTCACATGATAAGCCCGCTTAGTAAGCTGTTTTTGTGCCACACGAGCGGAAAAACAAGATCGGCTCTTCTGTAGTCTGATTTTCTTCACTGTATTGTAAGTTATCTATCTTAGCGTCATCAGCATGATTGTGGAATTGATCACTTTAATCCTTTGAATTCATCTCCATCCTTCTTGTGTAGAGGCTTTAAGTACCAAGGGTCAATGTATCTGGTAAGTCAGGAGTGCAAAGAAAGACCTGCATCCCACTGGGTAGGTATATATACCATGCCCATCATCTAATCTAGTCATGAACTTATTCTCTTGATTGGGACAATTATATGATATTTATTAACTAGTTGATAGCCCGCACATAGCTTCTTGTTAAGAATCTGAACTATATGTACTAGTATATTTTTGCTTATCCTTACAAGAGAAATATGGACGTGAGAAAGCTCATGGCGACATAAATGATGTAGGGTATTAGTGTCTTGACAGAGACCCTATCACTTCAAAGTCTCTAGAATGGCATGATGGATTTAGTACTGATTCTATTCAGAATCTATTTCGGGACTTTCGACAATGCGCTCGCACTTTTGGAGACTCTTTTCTACACAGTCCGGAGAGCGGTAACTTAATCGATTTTCCTAACTTAGTAATGTTCAACAACCAACCTATCATTTGTGTTATGTGTGTGTTTTCTACGGAGTAACTTGCCCGTCCTTCTTAATCTAGCAGCAGCTGTGACTTATTACTTTCACACAGTGTTCTATTTAGAAGTGTCTTTGTGACCCAAGAACATGGCACATTATTCATACGAGCAAGCGTGTGAAGCAGCTCTCTTTTTTAAAGATCGCTTGCCGTCTCCGTTGCAAGCCCCTCGCATCGCCATAATCTGTGGCTCTGGCTTGGGCGGGCTCGCCAACACAATTGACGCCCAACCGCGAGCCGAATTTGACTTCAAGTCAATTCCTCATTTCCCTCATCTAACAGGTAACCTTTACGCTCCACGAATTCGTCATTACTAAAATCTCAGTGCTTACCTTGCATCTATAAGTTGCCGGCCACGCAGGAAAACTCGTCTTTGGATGTCTCAACGGGCAGGTCCCTGCAGTGTTGATGGTGGGCCGAGCTCAGTGAGATAAACCTCCATCTTCGTCAAGTCCAATGACTGCATGAATTGCTGATTGACTGCGACCTGTTCACAGTTACTACGAGGGCCATTCTCTTGATCGAGTGACATTTCCTGTACGCGTTTTCAAGCTACTTGGCATTGACACAATAATCTGTCAGTCTTCCCTTTTCCCCTCAGGCAGATGGAAGAGGGTACGGCAGGAGTGAATTCCTTTCATATCTCGAAACTAACACGCTCAAACGGTGATAGTAACCAATGCCGCGGGGGCCTTAAATCCAGGTTATATGGTGGGAGACATTGTGCTACTCAACGACGTCAGTGGACAAACCCTTATGCTCTAAAAGAGTGGCTTATTCTGAAAGGTGTACAGCATTTATTCCTTTCTGGACTGGCAGGCATTCATCCACTAAGAGGGCCCAATGCCGAAGAATTCGGTCCACGCTTCCCTCCACTATCTGATGCCTACGATCTCGACCTGCGCCGCCATGTTCATAAAGCTTGGGCCGCCATGGATCTATCGGGCAACAAGAGGAGGCTCCACGAGGGTATATATGCTTTTGTTGGCGGACCAAGGTGAGCGGTGTAATCCCATACTCCGTTTGCACAGCTAAACTGGTACAGCTATGAGACCAGAGCAGAATGTCGCATGCTCCGCGGATTAGGCGCCGATGTGGTGGGGATGTCCACTGTCCCAGAAATCGTTGTTGCGAGGCATTGCGGCGTGCGAGTTCTAGCATTGAGTCTCGTGACTAATAAGGCTGTTCTGGAACCAGTTCCTCGAGGTGATGACAGTTTGCTCACATGCAAGAGGGCGGAAGAGCTGGATGCAATCATGCAGGAAGGCAAGGCTAACCATCAAGAAGTCCTTGAAGCTGGTCACTCGGCAGCAATCGACATGCAAGTATGCTCGTTCTTCTCCTTTGGAGCCGAATGCCAATTGACACGTGTGCAGAGGTTGGTGATGGAGACAGTCGCTTTCGGGTTTCCACCATCCGACAGGCGCTAACGGGGCGATCTCGCGAATTGGGGGCGAGACGACCCTGTTCAGTAAGCGCACGCGAGATTCTCGACCCAAGGCTTAGATAAATAAACCAAGTGCCCTGTCCAGTGACAGCACGCCATCGCTTGACCCTGAATGAGAACGAAACCCCCCATAAGCTTTCGAGCTAGTCAGTCTACTTCCCTCTGGTATTTCTTCTAGAGCGTAGAGTTTTGTAGTAGGCCTTTTTACCACTTTGTTTGGTGGCCTGTATGTCCCTGTACTTGGTCTCAAAGCGTTTGGTCTCCTTCTCCAGTGCCAATGCTTCGTCAACAAATGTCTTCTTACGGTCCTTTTTCGCGATGCGGCCACTGAAGAACTCCGTTGGACCTTCAATGATCGTGCCAATTTGAGAATAAGTGGGGGGCTGCGCTTTACTGTTCTCCTTCTTATAATGCCTCTTGGGATCCAAGACTGAGCGCATTCGAAGAAGTTGTAGGTCTCGTCTTAACTCTGCCGTCAGTTCGGTTTTGGGCAGGTCAAACCAGTCACTACCAGCCGTTGGTTTCATCTGGAATTCGATGCAATTAGCCTTTGAACCCTTTCCTTGCGGTGAGATGTCAAGGTTGCGAACAGAAATTTTCTCAGAGTAACTATGAAACAAAAAAGAACTTTCATTGGCACAGCGCAGCCCAGTACGGGATGATAAGCTGCATCAAGCGCTTACGCGATATATTTTCCTCATTGCGATGGGTTGATCGACTGAAACAAGCAACAAAAGAGACAGGGACTCTTACCTTCAAGCTCTTTGAATCGTGAGTAGCTCCGCTTGGCCTTTTAGTATGACCATCATTGTAGTCTTCATGAGTCAGCAACCTGGCAGTGTTTACCAATGCTATATCATCTTTGGGATGAAAATACGGCTCGAGAGCTGTACTGTCAGATAATTTTGGTATCCTGATGAGTATAGAATTAGCTTTATACTAAGGCAGAGAATACCTTGGAGCAGATGCCACCGAAAGACAAACCGTATCAAAATTTGCTCAGAGAGTGAGTCTGCAGCCTGTATATGGTCAGATTCTTTGGGTCTTTCGCCATCGCAACCCTGGAGCCGATCTTCAGCTTCGAGGAGAAGCTGTTCTATCTCCTGGTCTGTTAAGATAATGCCATCCTGTATTTGGAGGTCATCAAATTTAGAGCATGTTGCCCCTGTCATGGTCCTTATGACCAGACTGCGCGATTCTATCGTTGTATTGAACCTGCAAGAGTAAAGGATGGAGGCGATAGAAGTGAGGAAGCAAAATCAAAACTCGGTATTTATGGGGGGAGAGAAAGGTCGAGCTATTTTTTGGACTTTGGAACAACATCGGCTAGGATGAGGAAAATTTTCTCAGTGGGGGCCCGCAGTAACAGTAACTGAGTTGTCCTACTGGTCAATACGTTTCATTACAGCCCGGGCGCGCGTATCGAATCCGCCTTAGATTGCTGAACAGTGTAATTAAATGGTAACTTATACGAATGTAAAGTTACATCAGCCTATGCTTGGGAATCTGCATGGGTACTGTTTTCGGTCCGCCTTCCTATGTCACTCATACTCCCATCAACTGGGGGGGATCCAACGGTACGATGCACACAGTATAGACCGATTGACATGCATGTGGCACCATGATGTCAGAGTAAGCACTGGGATGTCTAGCTGATATCAGCACTGTACTGTAACTAGTCGCGGTACTGTGTTGCGTCTGCACCGCACAGGGGGATATGTAGACTGGAATCGAATGGTGGGCTAAGCCTATTCGCAAACAGGTCCCCGGGTTAGTATCATGAACCTGGAGAAAGCTGTAAGCCATAATCCGCATTGATTCGAAAAGTCACAATCGACGTGCTGTGATTCAATAGTAAGCAGGGATCCATATAGTATAGTGGTGTACCTACATAGTACCTTACCTACGTACCTCCCGAGGTCGACAGCCTGCCAAGCTTGGCGCGGCTTTGTTGCACGCTACCACCAACTTCATCCACCTGATGGGCCGTCAACTTACTGTCTTACCCAGCTCTTCTCCTGACTGCTGCCCAGCATTTGCGTCTGTCTTCACTCCTATTATCTCTATTATTCACCTTTACTCTTACCGTTAGGCGCGGGGATACTATTCAGCATATATTCGTCGCTACCATACCTAATCTGCGTCTCTCTCACCTTATCGGAACAACTCTATCATTCTATTTGCATGTAATTCGAGTTCAATTTTCAACAGCGAGCTTCGCAAAATGGAACAGCCTACACAAAGTGCTGGACAGCAGCAGGGCAGACAGCAGCCTGTATATGACACTAGAAATGGGGGGCATTACGGTATAACCTTTGGCCCTCCCTACATACTCAGCACGTCTCCATAACCTGAGGATTGGGCTGACGCATATTTCTATAGGAGCCAGTGCAGCTGTAGGACTCCCCATTTCTCCGGGACTTGTCTGCGAGCAGGCTCTGACTATGAACACTCCGACACTGACCACTGCTTTGATCTGTCTAGCTATCTGCGCAAGGGTTCGCACCTGTTGCTGAGCTTTATACGGGCACTTGGGCAAATGCGAGTAGAGGTCTTCGGCAGCTGCATTTTGATTGTAACTAATAACGGACAGGTGAATCAAGGACTGCAAGGAACGGCTCGGGATATCTTAACAACATACTGGCAGCACATTATCAACCACCTCGAGACAGATAATCATGATTACAAGATACATCAGTTACCGCTCGCCCGTATTAAGAAGGTGATGAAAGCCGACCCGGAGGTAAAGATGATCTCAGCCGAAGCGCCTATCCTATTTGCAAAGGGGTGCGACATCTTTATCACCGAGCTTACTATGCGCGCATGGATCCATGCTGAAGACAATAAACGGCGCACACTACAAAGGTCGGACATCGCAGCAGCTCTTTCGAAATCAGATATGTTTGATTTCCTCATTGATATAGTACCTCGTGAGGAGGCTACATCGCATGCGAAGCGTTCAAGTCAGACTGCTGGGGCAGCTGCAAGCGCATCGGGCGCTGCCGGCCCCGCAAATCAAATGCCAGCGGCCCAGCATGGAGTTCAGCACACTTCACACCATATGCCCCCCCCAGACTATGGCTCGCTAGGCCAGCACGGATTACAAGATCCGGAATACCGACAGCCGACAATGTATGCCGGTGCTGTACAGTCGGACCCTACCGCGGCTTATGGGGGACATCAACCTCAAATGTTCGACGGAATGTATGCTTACCCGCATATGCCACCGCAACAGGTATGTCACATTATCAGGATTCGATTGGTACTACTGAAGCTATCGCTATGAACGAGTTTATGGACTAATCAGTTTTCTAAAAAAGTGATATTATGATTTATGTTTCTCGCTTAGGTGTTAGGGTGCTTGAGTCGATTTCCTCGACCTTTTGAATGTTAAATGGAATTGGAAGAGTTGATACGCTTTGGATAGTGGTAAGAATTGGCGAATTGAGAGCCTGAGACGCATGAGCCCTCTCTGTCATGTCTTGAGTAGACATGATCCAGCAATTGTTTGATGTGCTTAAATAGCAGAATCGGGACAACTGTATCGTGTTTCATGATTTCTTTCCGAATCTCGAAGATAAGGTAGCGAATTTATCAGTTTTCGCAGAGCTTTGCACAGTGCGCATAATCCTTCGGCGATCGATTAGCACATGTTTCACTTCGGGTTCGGCACGCTTAGCTTTGACGTACTTCTCTAGAAGGACGGGGCCGTTAATGGCATCTACACGTCCGTACTTCTTGTTTCGTGTAGATATATCATAGAACTCATCTGTGTTGTCTGCCTGCATCAACTGCACTGTTTGCTGCAGCTCGTCAAGATTCTCCCGTAGTATGGGCACGCCGAGGCTGTCGACAAATTGATATAAATACTCGACATCTTTAGCGAGAGCTAGCACCCCATTCGTATTAATTTTTTTCACATCGGATGAAAGAGGGAGTGCCTGAGTTATGTCAGAGATAGATTTCTCGCAGTGTGCAAGTGAGACAAACTAGGATCATGTTTGCTGCGTGACTAAGGGCGTCGAAATATATCAGCTCCTTGATTTCCGTAGGGAGGCCGAGGAGCGTCGAATTCATGATATTAGAAAGGAACCTGGTCAGTGTTTGCATGTAGTTACTCGGCTCCGTAGGCGGAATATGAGCCATCCAATCGTACTCAGCTGTCTCAATGAGGTCATCAATCTTAGAGTTGACTACCTCAAAGATTCGCTTTTCGGCCGCCTTCTTATTGTTCTTGAATTTTTCTGTTGCATTCAGCTTCACAAACTCACTAGAAGAGGTCTGTGATCTTGCCGCTGCAAGAAGCAACTCGAGCTCGCGGCATGCATGTTCAAAATGCTCTAGGTTGATAAGAATCTGCACAATCTGTCCCAAGTACTGGGAAGAGAGACGCTCGACAAGTGTATCACACACTTTATTCGAAAGAAGTTCGTCCAATGCCTTGCGTCATTAGCTTGCAGATAATATCTAATGTCAGTATGCCACTCACATCTTTGAGTGTCTCGTCAATCACATTGGTATGAGGGAAATCATCATTGGCGAAGAAGTAAAATTGATTCAAGAAATTGCGAATATCAATGCAGCACAGCGGATACATTTGAGAGAATGGTAAGACGCAAGGGAACCTGATAGAAGAGTTGGTGGCTTGGTTGCCAAATCAAGGTTGAACGAGAGGAATTCTTACATCTGTTCTTCGTGTGGTTTTTCTGGATTGTACCAGCTGACATTCAGCACCTTCTCATATTCCTCAATTGTTTGTATCGGCATAGGCATATAATCGTCGGTCGAAACGATCTTCAAAGTCCCTTAGCAATGTGGATACCAATTCGTCTAAAAAAGGCACGGGCACACCTCTTGAAAATCGTCACTAAACCTCTTCTTAAGAAGGTCAGCATACTTTTCGAAAAGCGTCAATAAAAACGTATCAAAGACGCCGACAGGGAAGTCCCATGTCTAGAGGACATGAATTAGTACAAGATTCCACATTAGCCATAAGAATCGGATCAACAAACGTTCATTGTTTGCATAAACAATGCAATTAGATTCTTGATTTTGAGCAGGCTCTCAGCATTATCAACTTCGCGAAGAGCCTTCATTATCAAGCTCACAGCAGCTTGACACATCGAGTCCCATAATTCATCGACCTTGCCCATTCCGTGATATTAGCAACTTGACACCGGCTTAAGCGTAAGGAGATGACATACGTCAATAGGAGATCTTAGGTCCGGGATTCTTTTCATCGTTGAGCGCTCAACAATTGCAAATCCCGCCATTTCTTCGAGGAGATTATGAAGACAAGCCCCATCTTCATCAATCAACATTATTGATGTAGGCAACAGAAGCTCCTTTTGCCGACGGCGTGTGTTGGCATATTCGAGGCGAAACATGTCAATACGCCCTAAGGATCGATGAATATGTAAACATTCAAGTAGTGGCGTGAAATCAACCTGGAGTTCGTCGTTCTGTAGTAAGTCATACTCTTCACTCTCATCGGAAACAAGTTCAATGGCGGAGTTAAGCTTGAATTGTCCCAAGTAGGGCAATGCTCCAGCTCTTTCTTTCTGTCTCGACTTTCGTAGATCGGTGTGGTACAGAGCTATTTCGCCAAGGTATTGAGACATTTCACGAATTCTGTAAAGCCAAGTGTTCAGATCAGACATGACTGCTTCCGCAATTATCTTCTGCGTGGCAGGCACTGAGCGTTGGATCATCTCAGCGATCTTATATTGTGTAACCCCTTTAAGGTGAACATTCTGCAGCTCCTCCAGGGCGCGTAAGGCCGCATAATGATTTTTTCTGGAAAGCAAATCATGGATTTGATTGGCAAGGCGCAGAACTTCAAGACAATCCTGTATAGCGCCAGACGATTCATCAATATTCTGCCGGTGACTGCGCGACTCCACCAGGGCTCTTTTCTGCTCTGCCAGTCTTTCCGTACTTGCTTGAATGGATTGGTTGAGGTCTAAGATCTCGGCTGTCAGGCTAACCGTACCTTCCCTGATACGAAGAAGTTGATTGATGGAAGCAACAAATTCTTGATGATTTGTATTGCAAATGGCCTCTATTTCTGCCTCCTTATCACTTGCAAATTTGGCCAAAGACTGTAAGAGTTGGGATGTTCTGTTGCCAATACTGTATTCTTTGATGGACGGAATCAATTGATCCAGGTAGTCTGTGTCTGAAGGGGATATGATGATCTAAGTAGGACGGCAGGTCAGTCTAAAGTTCTACGGCCTGTTACACAAGGACTCACTTGATTCAGAACATGCGATTCGTTGCGTGAGGGTATCGCAGGCGACATCTTGATGGTTGAGGATTATGGCAACTCGAACACGTGGTGGGTCCTCGCAATGTGCCTGGGAAAGCTACCCGCGTGCTTGGCTACTCTTGATGATCATGTGTGGTTGGTCTTGTAACTACAGAAGATGACGCAGCAAAAGTGGTTAGTCAGTGCATGAAGTTACTCATAAGTGTTTTGGGTGTTCAAGCTGCGCATGACAGACTAGTCAACCGGCTAACTCCGGCGGTGAAATAAACCGTTCCGTAGGAGAAAATACGTTTGCAAGACATGAAGACATGATTGTTGCTGACATACTCGGGAACTTTGTCGCCCTTCCAACCTCAACCTCTTCTTTCAGGCGTACGCGCTCGTAGCTAAGGCAGCCACTCAAGAAGCTGGCTGAACGGTGCGCGGGTACGCTACTTCCGAACGCACCTCATGCAGTTAGTACTCAGGGTAGTCAGGTACCTAGTATAGTAGTATACGTATAAGTTAAGTACGCATACGTTAGTAGGTAGTTGCCCTACCTAGAGTAAATGACCCCGGCAGGTACTATAGTTACTACTTACTGACTAATAAACTACGGAGAAGCCATTCGCTACTAGGTTAATAATTATATTCGAGGTCCACGGTCACGGGGTCGGTCCACCTCGGACACGGTATCTCCATAATCGGTAAAGTGGTATAACTACTGGAAGGACATTATGAGCGGTGAGTTGGAAGTACTGTACAGTATGGAACCGCTTCGCTAGACTTCTTAGTTGCTTAGGTAACCAAGACCGATTACCTCTGCCTGGCCCGGAAGCTTTATCTGCTAAGTTTTCCAAAGCTCCTTCTGATAAAAATGGTATTTCATTCATACTCAGTAAATACTACTCGTCGCTGCGGCGCCCCTCCACCGCAGGTGGAGGATCGCCTTCACCTCACGAATAATTCTACCTCAAGAATAACGAAAAACACATACTAATCCTACTTTTTTAATCACGTATAACTTTGTTAATTTAAAAGATTAGGCTTTACTCTTTTAAGAAGAGATAGAAGTAATAATATATAAGAAATTAATCTTTAAAAAATAGATACTTTCTAACTATATCTTTTATAATAATTGGAAAACTAAAAATACCTGAGACCTTAGGCATCTTTTTAGCTGTTTTTTTTTAATAAATAATATTTTAAAAAAAGAAAAAGATAGATATATAATTCTAGATATAGAAGGTGTGATATTTTAATCTTAAAATCTAATTTCTTAAATCGATAAAGTTATATATAATCAAAAAAGTAGAATTAGTATGTGTTTTTTGTTATTCTTAGAGTAAAATTATTCATGAGGTGGAGGTGACCAACCCCTGATAAGGGGTGGATTAACGATAGCGACGAGTAGTGGTCTTATTAGTCCGCCCCACTTGTCATGGCTGCCGGTAGCTACGGAGTAGATATTATGTAGATCATGGATACTGAGGAGGCAAGGGCGGAGGACTCACCCGACAACGGTTTGTGCCTACCTTTACACACCTTATATTGGTACTAAATAATTAGAATAACCTCATACTATAGTCCTTTTGATTGTTTCATTGGTCGAGACTTACCGGTTTCCCTCCATAAGTTGATATATTTGCTTCAATACGTCTCCATATTCCGTACATATACTACTCATAGTTACTAGCTGGATTTGCAAAGTTTGTGATAAAGGATCTGTTTTTTTTGGTCGAATCGGGCACTTCGAACCTAGCATATTGCATAGGCATAGTGCCATACCTGACTTTCAGATATCTCACACGTTAACAATCTTCAGCCCTGGATCCAAAGCACCCCGGAACCTTGGGAGATGTCTCACGGAGCAGGAAAGTGCCAGAACACGTGGAAGTCTCCTGATATGCTTACAAGCCGGGCTTTCCTCAATAGAGGTTGCTGGTCTCATCTCTGTGGATATTTCTACCAAATTCGCAGCAGGTTTTCCAGTGGGGAACAGCCATGAGCTTTATATGATGACCGACATTAACAGTATGAGATTGGGAGTGAAGCCAGTGGCCAGACTGTGTTCTATATCGATCGAATTACCTGCCCAGTTTCTGAGCTTAAAATAACGCAAGGAGTTGTCAGACGTTTTTTTCCATGCTGCAAGCCCCAAAAAAGCACGTGCGACCAATTTACTGCGTCGCCGGCAGAATGGTCTC